ATACAGACTGCTTTATTTAACTGTCTGTTAGAGAAAAGAACTTATGATCAGCATAGGTTTGGCTGCATTTATATCGAAAACATAGCATGGATGTAAAAATTGTGAAAAATACAGAAAACACTGGTACAATTGATAGTAGCAGCTACCATGAAAGATATTGTTATGCATTCGAATGAAATATTTTGCATTTCTCTGTATCTTTCCATATATAAAGACTACATTTATGATATTTTATCCCGCTTTGTATGATGGAATTATCTTTGAAATCCTATTGAAATAGTTTCCTGTATAACATTCTTTTACATACACACATTTCTTTGGGGGATATATTTAAAATCAATACTCAAACTGAATTAGATATAACATACAAACAATGAAAATTAGTGGGACTATATATTCTTTGAAACAAATAACAAACATATTCATATTTTATACAAAATGTAAAAATTTCATTGTAACCTTTTTCATTACATGAGATATCAATTTAGGGACTTTTGTGGATTTCTTGTTTACAGTTTAAAACGTAACAATGGGACTTAAGCTCACTTAAAAAAATATAATACACATCTATCAATCCTTGTCAAATAAGTCATTCCATAATGTTACTAGCACATGAATCACACAAATACATTTTACATACAAGTATAATGTTAATGCAAATAAGAGGGAGGTGAGTTGATTATCTCCCTTGACGGAATCAGAAAAGGATGTACATGTACTGACAATGACAAGTACAATGATGACATGAGTTTAGTGATTTTTATCATTTTCAAAATTCCAGGGTTTATGCTCTCTGACGTGCTCTGTATCTCTAGAAGATGTTGTGGCAAAAATCGAAGGTTACACGTACGCACCACCTTTTGAATGATACAAAGAGATAAGTTTGATCCTTTGATGTACACCTAAAGAATCAGTGGCAGGGTAACAGTAAAGATTTGACCGGCTTTGATTAGCTTGATTCGGTTTATAGAGCCCCTTATCCGATTCAACCAGTTGAAACGGTGGAACCTGAAAGAAAATGACAGGCGCACACCTAAACCGAGGCTGACCTCAGGAATATTCGGCACGTGTAGATTGAAGGGTCCAGACGTGTCTGACCGAAACTAAAACGCCGACTATTGCTAGCTTGTGTTATTTCTTTATAAAGCAAGGAGATACCACTTGTAGGGTTTAAGATAGTTAGATAATTTAGTGGACGCGTGTAAGATTCGGTTATGGTTCGGTCCAAGTGCGTTCGTTTATCATGGAATATCAACCGGAATGCGTGAATTTAACCTAAAATTTCATGCCCTATCAACAGCTGAGGTCATTAATTTAAGAACGTGCCTCCATGTGTGTTGTGTATGTGTGCCTGAGGCAGGGTATGCTGGTGACTAGCTTTGAAGTTGGGTGTCACTTTGCTTAATTTTCAAAGGACAGGTATTTTTTAAATAGAAATTTTATGAAAGGACAGATATTTTACCTGAAGCCTAATAGTTAACCAGGTATCTTCCAGTTTGTCATGACATATTCTAGGGGTGCAGAAAAATTAGCATAACCACTGGAATTTTGAGGTTCTTTCTTTGTATGATGGCTATAGACGGTACATGTATATTTCACTGAGGCATTTCCAATGAAAACAATCCAATATAAATAAATTTGTGTCCAGATATAAACATGTAGAAAAGAAACCCTATAAAGACAATGGGTAGGAGACAATAACACACAAATATATTGAGATCATGTAACCAATATTTTAGAAGTGAAAAAGTTTAATCATAAAATTTCTTTATAAAAAATTAAATCTTCCAGTCTTCCAAATCACACTCTGGTTTACAATCAATCCTAAAACATACTGTTCGCAATCAATTCTTTCAAACAATTTTCAACATATATAATTTTTCTCGTCATCATCAATCATTTGAAAATATCGATAACAAAACATTTCCATGTTTAAGCAACGTAACCGACATTTCATAATTATGCAAAGTTTGCTAAATATGTATTTAAACATTACAAGATAAACACACACTCAATTAAAAACTGTATTTACGAATTACAAAAACACAATGTGTGTACACAACACATTAAAAAAGATGGAAATTATCAAATACACAAAACATACTGATTAAATTAGGTACGATCGTAATACAAAAAATAAATAAGTTATTTTTAGAAAAATTTCCACAAAAGTGACGGCAGTACAATATTTTGTTCATCAACCTCAAAGGGTCAGAGGTCAAGAGAGTTTTGGGTTATTGGTGTATAGGAGGTGATGGTTGTGATCAATACTAGAAAGGTTTCATGGGAACATAACTTACAAAAAGACAATTGACTGTACATCTGGAAAAAGATCATGATTTTACCTATCAGCTTTGGTGAAAGTCTGTTTGCTGACAAGTATCAAAGGATTAATGACAGGTGAAATAAATTATAAATTTACTATTACTATTTACTATTTCTTTAGGAAAAGAACTTCTCTTCATAAGAAGTCGCATCTGAACATGGTCTGTTAATTAACTAACTAATAAATCATTAATATGATGGATCTTGTTGTAATTTTGTTATAATTCTTTATAAAACTTATTCGCCCCTGAAGTCACATTTGAACCTTACCAAATCAAAGACTGGGCAAGTCCAGTTTAAAAATGTAGGGGTGAATGAGTTACAGGTGAAGTGATTAAAATTGTCACCTGAAGACAGAAACACGAAAAATCACCTGTACAGAAGCCAGAAAGGGTAAAATAGGAAAAACCTCTGAAGACGTACTAACGCAATAGCGATGTCGTCAAAAATGACCTACTTGTTTGTAAAAATGACATAACTTTGTTGTTATCACTACTTACTGTTTCGTAATGGCAACATAGCAATAACAGCATAGCTATCTTGTAATGACAACTCACTATGTCATATTAAAGTCATTCAGCTATTCCATTATTAGAATTTCATGACACAGGTAAATCATTATTACAAGATAGCTATGCTGTTATTACGACATAATATTTTTCTTAGTGGCTGGCACTGGCTAAATATTTGGGAGAAAATATTGAGTATTTGTCTTTTTATTAAAAACGTTTGAAGGAGTGAAACTAAATTGCTGATTCCATAGGTCATTCAAACAGTCTGTTTATAAAAAATATACAAACAAACATGGAACAATATCGTAGATATGACACGGCTAAGGAAAAGGCTGAAGGCATATAGGATGTCACTTGATCACATAAATAAAACCATAGACTTGCTATCAGTCTCAATGATTTTAACTTATTTTCCCATCTATATAATGACTTGAGCAAGTCTACAGGTTCTTGATCATAACGTGTCGTTTATACATATACTAGACCTGCTCAAGTCTATAGAAATTAATCATTTAGACTGAAAGTCAATCTATAAAAACTGAAAATACACAAAAAAAACATACAATAATTTGTAATAGAAAAGTAATGAAAAGAAATTTATTAAACTTAAAAAAGTCATTGAATTAATTTCATTAAACATTAAGTTTTTCAAGATTACTGAAGCAAGATATTGGTCCATATTAGTATATATATATATAGCAAATTAAAAAACCTGTTAGGTACAGAACAGTTAAAGACTTCTTTACATGTGTGTGTAAAGACTGGGAAATCCAACCTCGGGTTAAAATATTGAAGTAGTGTCCAAGGCTTGCCTGAATTCTTAACTAAAACCTCATTATCCCATATAGAATATTTTGTTCTGAAATAAATATTTTTACAAAAAGTTTGATAAAATATAGAAATACTAAATGGTGATTGTTACCCTATAATGTAGTAACATTATTTCACTGTCATGTCACAAGCTAATTCAAACCATATATATATATCTGCTTTCTTGTATGGGGTCTCTATCCTACACAGAGGTATGATAGAAATATCAGGTTGTTTAACTTCATATTACAAGTACAAGCCCACAGGCTGATGTTTGAACAAATCTACCAGCCCAGCCTATAATTTCAGAGAAGATATTGAACATTGTCACAAACCCTTACATAAAATTTACAAGATTCGGGCGTCAGGCTTGTGGAATGGTACGTCCCTGTATATAGATCCTCCTGTAGTTTAGTTTATAAATTCTTGCCAAATTCTAGTTTTTCTAATTGTATCCATTGAATGTACAGATGCAATTTCATTTTGAGAATTAGAGTATTCTATCCAAATAAATTGCTGTCTCTTTCCACATTCCCACATTCAACTACAATATAAAGAAGATAAAAGGCAGTGGTTATCTCCCTTTTCTTATAAAGAAAATCTGTATAAATTCATGATAAGGGGGAGGGAGAAAAATAAGAATTTATCGTCTGAAAGAGAAAAAATATATGTGACAACATATACACACACATAACAGAGCTCCAAATATGATTCTGATTGTAACGATGATAATGCAAGCTGCACAAAAAGGGAATGGCCACAATTGAAACTGTTATTGATATATGTACAGTCATTCGGAGTCCTTTTAATTGTAATAAGTGGAAACAACAGAGCTGTAGCCAGCTTCTGTGATAAAAGTGTCCATGTCATGGTTTTATTATGCTAGAATAATAGTTGAGTTTCTAAATGGCGACAAATGAAACTACGATGAAAAAAAACAACATTATTTAGCTTCCCCCCACTTCTAAATTGGGATGTCTTTGCTATACGGATATGAAGTGCACAAAAATGTTCCCAAAAAATGTCCCTTACTTCAAAGAATTATACAAATTTAATAGCTCTTAGTACCTCATCAAAACATTTGGAGAAGAATATTGTTAATTAAAATTTGACAGGACTACAAAAAAAGGATCAACAATTAAAATATCCATTAAGTTCACATTAAGGATGCCTGTCCCTTGACCAGGTAGCTCAGCCAGTTAGAGCGACAGAATAAAAATCTAGAGTCCAGTGTTTGAATCCTGGTTTTGTCCCAATGAATGTCTACAATCAAATCACTGTTGTGTTTTTTTCTTCTTCTCCTTTTTCTTCTTTCTTTTTATCTGTTTTTTCTCCTTCTTTTTTCTATTCTTTTTCTTTATTGCGCTATATTTTTTTCATAAAAATCTTGCAAGGTATGGTTTTCTTTCCAGTAATGATTTATCAAACAATCTCTTGCTGGCAAATTTGGTTTTCAGTGCATAGTTGGAAATTTTGGCAATGGAACAGGGATCCTTAAAAGATGTTTACTATGCCAACTTGGAGAGCATAAACCAATTTCAACTCAGAATTTGAATCAATGATGTTTATACACTTCAATTAATTTAAGTTAAACTACGAACCCCTTTTGAAGGAAATCAATATGAGTAAAATTTATGATAAAATCATTTATCATAGGAGGGTGTCGTTGATCTGTAGCTAAAATAACATAAAATATTAGGATAAGTAAGGATATATTTCATACATCTACAATGTTCTTCCAGATTGTCAAATACATTGCACACAATTTACTCAGTTGAGCTTTTAAATAATTACAAAGAAGTAATGATTTCTTTTTATTACGTAGAACACTTAGATATCCGCGAGACTTTAAATCAATTTTGAATTATTCAAAGAATACCAAATAATAATTGACTACCAGCGGCAACCAAAATGTACCTGTGGCTACCAAACAAAATTAAAAATGTATCTCTGGTTACCAGGGAAACAAAACGTCTACCTGTTGTTACCAGGGACATCAAAATGCCTGGACTAATAAAGAAACACAAGTGTACAAGTGGCTAGAAAGGAAACCAAAGTGTACCTGTGGCTACCAATTACGGAAACTTAAACTATACATGTGGTTTCCGGGGAAACCAAATTATACATGTGGTTACCAGGGAAGCCAAAAGTGCATTTGGTAACCAGGGAAACTAATAGTGCAACTGAGGCTACCAGGGAAACCAATTTATACATGTGGTTACCAGGGAAGCCAAAAGTGCATTTGGTTACCAGTGAAACTAAAAGTGCAACTGAGGCTGCCAGGGAAACCAAATTATACATGTGGTTACCAGGGAAGCCAAACGTGCATTTGGTTACCAGGGAAACCAAAAGTGCAACTGAGGCTACCAGGGAAACCAAATTATACATGTGGTTACCAGGGAAGTCGAAAGTGAACATGGTTACCAGGGAAACTAAAAGTGCAACTGAGGCTGCCAGGGAAACCAAAAGTGTACCTGTGGTTACCAGGGAAACCAAAGTTTACCTATGCTTACCTTAATAGTCACAGACAACTAATCAAATCTTGATTTGCATGAAACCTTATTAGCCAGTCGACACACTGGCTTCTGATTTTTTATATGAATTGAAAACAATGATTAATATCACACATGAAAAGTCGGTAAAATATTTTTGTTTGTACAAGCTGTTCAGATACATACTACACTGCTATATGTAAAACCATATAAAATTTAGCATGATATACACATTTAAATCATTCTAGGGACGTACACACCTGCCACTGAATCAACAAGCGCAGAGATAATCAAGGCAGAAACACAGAGAGGTACAATACAACCTATATAAATTACTATACACTTCAATGAAATAAATTAATTAAATCTTCATTCATAAAAATATCCTTTGTAAAAACTCTATTTACATTTATGATAAAGATTTTATTTACAATAATGGGATTATAATATGGTGTGATAATGGCTGCACCAAATGTTAAAGTAAAGTGCATGCATTATGAGGATCATTTAGAAACAGAATTAATATTTGTAGGTTTGAAAGCGCCATGGTTGGAGGAATTCAACAGATTGAAAAATATCCTTTTTTTAAGGAGTCAATTACCAGGAACATGCCCTGATTTGGTTTTGCAATTGAAGAGTTATGCGACATCCATAATTTTTCATAGAAACTTAAAAAATATTTTCAAGAAGAGTGCAAGAGTTACCTCCCATCCTCTGATCACAGCCGCAAGGCAAAACTGTGTTTCTTTCACTTTTCTTTTACAGATGTCTCATTCAATATGATAAATGTAAAATAAACATACTTATTATATCTTTTTACTTTGACCTTTGATGTTACTAGAGTCATCTGACAAGAGTTTGTGTAGGTTTTTAAGGGATGTTTTCAATGGCTGCCATATCTGCACACAGAATTGAAATGTGTGTACATGTATATGTGTATAATTTGGCAAGGAAAACTGTTTTGCATAAAAACGTTACAAATGTCTGACAGGCATCTGTATGTTATGAGGCAGGTCAGACATGAAAGTTTGTTAAAAAGAATTCTGGTCACGTGACAAATGACAGACTTCTTTGCATGAGAAAATTTGCAGAAACATCCCGCTCTAAGCTCAGAGCTGCTCTATAAGCACCTTTGGTCTATTTGCCAAACATTTATAACGTTTCTGATATTTCTACGTTCTTGGCCAGAAATGGAATCAAATTTGATATCAACATATTTGGATACAGTATTTTCATTTTTTCTAAAAAAACTATTTGTGGCAATTAACCGGTAGACAACCGGCCTTCTGGACTTGTCACAAGTCACATTCTTTAGAACAAATATCCTTGGTTTCAACTTGGATACATGCAAAAATTTAATTATGGAAACTGCTCTACATCCAAACCCAACCTTAAACTACACATTCATTCTCTCACTTATTGTTATTTTCTAAATTGGATTAAAACGAATAAACCATAAAAGATTACAAGTTTTTTTCCACTAGTTGTTCATAAAGCACTTAAATTCTGCATTGTTTCATACATATATGTTCCTCTAAAACACCATTTCTGCCTTTAATTGACTTCGAACATCCTACTGATTTAATAACTCCTACTATGCAGCAAAGATTTCACTACAAAATTATCAATAGCAAAGGTCATCTATAAAGAATGACATTGTCTCTAGTTTTTTCTAAGTGTTTATAGACTTGAAGAGCACCTTAAACAACTACAGCCTCAGGTCCAATATCATATTTTTAGTAGGCTTAATATCAGTTTAAAGTTCCTAGTCTTGTACAAATTTTGGGTTTTAGTGAAGGTCCTTGATTAGAGCAGAATACATACTGTGAAATCAGATATTTTTCATGAAGCCCAAATTTCGTGTTTTCCTGACAAAACACCGCTTCATGGGTACATGAATTTGTGGATTACCAGTACTCCCTAAAACAGAGAATTGCTTTATATATCAAATGTGAAATTACTTCGTGGATTTGTGGATGAAGATTAGCAATGAAATCCACATAATAAAAACTCAACGAAAATTCGTGATTTCACAGTACAATGTAGTACTGTAAGAAGTATCCTATTTTCGTAGCAAAAACCCACGAACTTCTAGACCGTCAAGCACTGTTTCTGGATCACAGCATCGGGCAAGATATTCATGTTCCATGAGGTGTATTGTTAATTGATCCTTTGAAAAAATAACAGGTAATTTTTCAATTGTTTTGGTTGCCTTGGCGACATTCAAAAGTCTTGGAAATATTTGAGTTCTCGATCACTGACAACTGCTGCCTTCCGCCAATCATCTTCTGAGTATTCGTCAAAGTTTTTCGTGTCCCCAGCATGCGACAATTTCGGTACAATAGGAGGCTGCAAGGAAACGAGAGAAAGATTTATGAGTCACATGTCTTTATTGAAGTCTTATTCCTCAATATCTGTTACTTATAGTGTCTGTGGAATGTTGGTGTGTGATATTGGGATATTCTTCATGAGGGTTTAGAATTTGGATCTGAACCGAGGCTTTGTCAAGGCTCCGACACCAAATTCTGCCCTGAGGGTAGACTAGCCCTTCCCACATACCTATACATCATGACTGACTCTTTTTTTCTCCCATATCTTCAATAAATTTTGGTTAAACATGACACAGACAATGCAAATGCATCAATTAATAAAGCAAAATTTCCAGATAATGTATACACAAGCTAAGGCCATATTTGGATAGACCAGAAAAAGGTACTGTATACCTCAAATTTAAGGATCTACGCAAGACTCTCAGGACAAGATTGTTCAATAACTTTAATGTTCCTGAGGTGGTGTCATTTACCGATTGCAAGACTGTCACGGTCTGCCAATCAATTTTTTGGAGGCTCTGATTGTGATGTCATAATAAAATTCAGTGTGCTCAAACGTGTTTTGTTTTTTTATAGAATAATGAAAAGCGAGCATCATTAAAGAAAGTTTCAATAAACAATTGAAAATTATATAATTATAATACTGGAAATTATCACACCAATCAAGTTATTATGTTTGATTTTGATAATTGACATTAATTCAGTTTTACCATTACTTCTGTTGAATTATTTCATAACTGTGCTTATACCTCCAAAGCTTTCATTAATCATTAACTCATTCACCGCTGAAGACACAACTCTTCCAATTCAAAGGTCGGAAGAGTACATTATAAAATTTCAGGTGTGGATGAGTTGAAAAATGATTGTAATAGATTACCACTTCAAAAGCACATTGTTATACATACTGATAAACTGATATTGCAACATATTGCCAATTGCAGTATTATTCACCACCCCTGGTTTCCTTCACAGAAAACCACTTGTTTGCTCAATATTTTACAGATAATGTTTTATTTTCTTACCGTTAACTTTCTGGCTACCACATCCTCCCATACAATTCCTTTGTACCACTTGTGTCTTTTCACATCATCGGCACCATTCTGTTCAAGGCAAGATCAAGTAAGAGTTACTTCCCTTACACCAATAAACTATCCACAATGAAAAGTACTTTTTTGAAACAGACTATAATCCCCCAAATAAATCAGGGCAAATTATGAAATGATAAAAAGTACTGTTTTGTTAGCTGCCTTTATTTTCCAAATTCAGATTTTTTTTTAGATTTTTCTGTCAATTTTTATGAAAATTTTACACTGTTTTGCTTGGACATATTACAATTCAGTAGATGGTATGCATATCTCAAGTATGACATCGTTTGAACTATTAAAACAATGTCATGTATCACTAAAGGGACTTCAGTGTCACAAGATCCTAATTTCACACCTAAGAATCTGTGAAGAATTAGTAGGTTACCTTCATATTTCCCAGACGCTTCGTTCTGTCTTGGACAAGCAGTTTCTTTACCAGATCTCTGTGTGAAAAACAATATCGAAATAAATAATTATCAATTATCGACTTTTGTTGAGGTGAATGTGGTTATATGGCCCTTAGACAGTGATATTGACCGAGAAGAAGTCATGGTCAATTTCTTAGGTCCATATTACCAACGTTAAAGTCCTACATTGTTATCTTAGACACTAAATATATATTAAATATTTTTAAACTTCAAACAAGATGGAAGGGTATCTATCGATTCAATATTATATCCTGGGTTAAAATTAGAAACACAAAAAAAAATGAGAAAAGATGTGCTTAATTTTTCATTGGGAATCAGTTGCATTTCTTGCTTAATCTTTGAATGTAGTTTTAGTTATTTATTTATTTTATCATTCTACATAGACAGATCACGTCTACCATCAATATAGTTATGTATCTAAAGGATTCCTGTCCCACTGCACTGCAGATTTTCCTATATGCAGTTAACTCCGGGCCCCTTAATTCCACTCGGATATAATGGTAGCACAGCTTTGCCAGGACACTTAACCAGGACACTTAATTCAGTTGACCAGGTGGCTCAGTCAGTTGGAACGATAGTATATCAATCCCGATCTAGCCCCGATGACTTTTTACATTCAGAACACTGTTGTTGATTATATTTTGTTTATTTCATATTTATTATTTATCACTGAAGTCCACCAACATATCATTTTTCCTTTCAGAAATTATTTATGATTTATTAATTGACTTGATGTCTTACTTTGCCACAGGATCCAGATGTCTTGGCCATTCTATCTTGCCCTCCAGAATCTTCTCATAAATGGAAAATGGATTATCATCAAAAAATGGTGGGAATCTGAAAGTATAAAGATTTTGTAAAGAACAATTACAACAAATTTGAATTTGGATATATGTATAATTTATTTTCTTCAACACATGTTACTCTTACACTATACAAATACCATTATACATGTATACTCTTTAATGGGCCCTCTTGCTAGAAGACTGATTATCTTATCAACATAGAATTTTAATCTAATATATTTACAATAAACTAAAACTCATCAATAAGATTACATGTCAAGGGACTAAGACTATCTCTGCTAAGTTAAAAGATGATTAAATCAGATTTTTTGTAAATTTCTAGGTACTTCCCAGAATTATCCTCTAAAAGCTAGCCATGCAGGTCAAGATCAAATCAGCCCTGCTGCAAATATTTTCCATTTTTTAACTTGCTCAGTCTTTGATTTGGTAGGGTTAAATGTCACTTTAGGGATGAATGGTGTTAAAGGAATATTGAGAACATAATTTCATCCATTGGAAAAACAAAATCATTATCATAAATAATATTTGTTTGCGTAAAAGATTTTATAATCAAGGCCTGGTATGCAAAATACGATAATTAATTAAAATCCGGAGATGCATATTAAAGTGAGTGAAAACGACCTACCCGACCAACATTTCGTAAATGAGGATGCCTAGCGACCACCAGTCCACAGCTTTGTTGTGTCCTTTACTCTGGATGATTTCGGGGGCGAGGTACTCCGGGGTCCCACACAAGGTCCACGTCCTGGAAGAACACAAATCACAGGGGATTATAATGATGACCGAGTCAAAAAAAACATAGTATTTTAGACAAATAACTGCTTGTGTTTTACATCCTATATAAATAAACAGCTATGGTCATTTAAGGAAGTGCAATGTATTGATGGTGGTGAACGAAAGCTGGAGAACCTAGAGAAAAGCCACTACCTGGAGCAGCCAGTACCTAGGGACTGCCCCATGTGACCTCGAACCTAAGACCCATCGGTGGAGGGCTAGTTATTGTACACGGTCAAACGCATTGACCACTTGACCACTGCGGCCCCTTAGTCAAATGCTGTTTTGCAGACTTTCACAGGTAGGATATGCAAATGGTTTATTTTTGCTTTTTTATCATATCTTACACATTGTTGATATTTCAGCTCAGAATCAAACTTATTATCCTTACTGTATACCGTTACTGTCTACCCGATACTGTAAACCGTTATTGTATACCGTTACTGTCTACCCGTTATTGTATACCGTTACTGTCTACCCGTTACTGTATACCGTTATTGTATACCATTACTGTCTACCCGTTATTGTATACCGTTACTGTCTATCCATTACTGTATACCACTATTGTATACCGTTATTGTATACCGTTACTGTCTACCCGTTATTGTATACCGTTACAGTCTACCCGTTACTGTATACCGCTATTGTATACCGTTATTGTATACCGTTACTGTCTACCCGTTACTGAATACCGCTATTGTATACCGTTATTGTATACCATTACTGTCTACCCGTTATTGTATACCGTTACTGTCTATCCATTACTGTATACCACTATTGTATACCGTTATTGTATACCGTTACTGTCTACCCGTTATTGTATACCGTTACAGTCTACCCGTTACTGTATACCGCTATTGTATACCGTTATTGTATACCGTTACTGTCTACCCGTTACTGAATACCGCTATTGTATACCGTTATTGTATACCATTACTGTCTACCCGTTATTGTATACCGTTACTGTCTATCCATTACTGTATACCACTATTGTATACCGTTATTGTATACCGTTACTGTCTACCCGTTATTGTATACCGTTACAGTCTACCCGTTACTGTATACCGCTATTGTATACCGTTATTGTATACCGTTACTGTCTACCCGTTACTGAATACCGCTATAGTATACCGTTATTGTATACCATTACTGTCTACCCGTTATTGTATACCGTTACTGTCTATCCATTACTGTATACCGCTATTGTATACCGTTATTGTATACCTGTTACTGTATACCTTAATTGCATACCGTTACTGTATACCGTTATTGTATACCGTTACTGTCTATCCGTTATTGTATACCGCTATTGTATACTGTTATTGTATACCGTTACTGTCTACCCGTTCCTGTATACCGTTATTGTATACCGTTACTGTCTACCCGTTACTGTATACCATTATTGTATATTGTTACTGTCTACCCGTTACTGTATACCGTTACTGTATATCCATTACTGTATACCGTTACTGTCTACCCGTTACTGTATACCGTTACTGTCTACCCGTTACTGAATACCGTTACTGTCTACCCGTTACTTATACCGTTACTGTATATCCATTACTGTATACCGTTACTGTCTACCCGTTACTGTAAACCGTTATTGTATACCGTTACTGTCTATTGTATACCGTTACTGTCTACCCGTTACTGTATACCGTTATTGTATACCGTTACTGTCTACCCGTTATTGTATACCGTTACTGTCTATCCATTACTGTATACCACTATTGTATACCGTTATTGTATACCGTTACTGTCTACCCGTTATTGTATACCGTTACTGTCTACCCGTTACTGTATACCGCTATTGTATACCGTTATTGTATACCGTTACTGTCTACCCGTTACTGTATACCGCTATAGTATACCGTTATTGTATACTATTACTGTCTACCCGTTATTGTATACCGTTACTGTCTATCCATTACTGTATACCACTATTGTATACCGTTATTGTATACCGTTACTGTCTACCCGTTATTGTATACCATTATTGTATACCGTAACTGTCTACCCGTTACTGTATACCATTATTGTATACTGTTACTGTCTACCCGTTACTGTATACCGTGACTGTATACCGTTACTGTCTACCCGTTACTGTATACCATTATTGTATATTGTTACTGTCTACCCGTTACTGTATACCGTTACTGTATATCCATTACTGTTGACCGTTACTGTCTACCCGTTACTGTATACCGTTACTGTCTACCCGTTACTGAATACCGTTACTGTCTACCCGTTACTTATACCGTTACTGTATATCCATTACTGTATACCGTTACTGTCTACCCGTTACTGTAAACCGTTATTGTATACCGTTACTGTCTATTGTATACCGTTACTGTCTACCCGTTACTGTATACCGTTATTGTATACCGTTACTGTCTACCCGTTATTGTATACCGTTACTGTCTATCCATTACTGTATACCACTATTGTATACCGTTATTGTATACCGTTACTGTCTACCCGTTATTGTATACCGTTACTGTCTACCCGTTACTGTATACCGCTATTGTATACCGTTATTGTATACCGTTACTGTCTACCCGTTACTGTATACCGCTATAGTATACCGTTATTGTATACCATTACTGTCTACCCGTTACTGTATACCGCTATAGTATACCGTTATTGTATACTATTACTGTCTACCCGTTATTGTATACCGTTACTGTCTATCCATTACTGTATACCGCTATTGTATACCGTTATTGTATACCTGTTACTGTATACCTTAATTGAATACCGTTACTGTATACCGTTATTGTATACCGTTACTGTCTACCCGTTATTGTATACCGTTATTGTATACCGTTACTGTCTACCCGTTACTGTATACCGTTATTGTATACCGTTACTGTCTACCCGTTATTGTATACCGTTACTGTCTACCCGTTACTGTATACCGTTATTGTATACTGTTACTGTCTACCCATTACTGTATACCGTTATTGTATACCGTTACTGTCTACCCGTTACTGTATACCGTTATTTTATACCGTTACTGTATACCGTTACTGTTTACCGTTATTGTATACTGTTACTGTCTACCCATTACTGTCTACCCATTACTGTATACCCATTACTGTATACCGTTACTGTATACTGTTACTGTCTACCCGTTATTGTATACCGTTACTGTCTACCCATTACTGTCCACCCGTTATTGTATACCGTTACTGTCTACCCGTTATTGTATACCTTTACTGTCTACCCGTTACTGTATACCGCTATTGTATACTGTTACTGTCTACCCGTTACTGTATACCGTTACTGTCAACCCCTTATTGTATACCGTTACTGTCTACCCGTTATTGTATACCGCTATTGTATACCGTTACTGTCTACCCGTTACTGTATACCGCTGTTGTATACCGTTACTGTCTACCCGTTACTGTATACCGTTATTGTATACCGTTACTCTGTCTACCCGTTACTGTCTACCCGTTATTGTATACCGTTACTGTCGACCCGTTACTGTATACCGTTATTGTATCCCGTTACTGTCTACCCGTTCCTGTATACCGCTGTTGTATACCGTTACTTTCTACCCGTTACTGTCTACCCGTTATTGTATACCGTTACTGTCTACCTTTTATTGTATACAGTTACTGTCTACCATTACTGTCTACCCGTTACTGCATACCGTTACTGTCTACCCGTTACTGTATACCGTTACTGTATACCCGTTATTGTATACCATGATTGTATACCGTTATTGTATACCGTTACTGTCTACCCGTTACTGTAAACCGTTATTGTATACCGTTACTGTCTACCCGTTACTGTATACCCATTACTGTATACCGTTACTGTCTACCCGTTACTGTATACCGTTATTGTATACTGTTACTGTATACCGTTACTGTCTACCTGTTATTGTATACCGTTACTGTCTACCCGTTATTGTATACCGTTATTGTATACTGTTACTGTATTCCGTTACTGTCTCCCCGTTACTGTATCCCGTTACTGTATACCGTTGCTGTATACCGTTATTGTATTCTGTTACTGTCTGCCCGTTATTGTATACCTGTTACTGTATACCGTTATTTCATACTGTTACTGTATAACGTTACTGTATACCGCTGTTGTATACCGTTACTGTGTACCCGTTACTGTATCCCCATTACTGTATACACTGTATACCGTTACGGTCTACCTGTTATTGTATACCGTTACTGTCTACCCGTTACTGTATACCGTTACAATCTACCCGTTACTGTAATCCCCATTACTGTATACACTGTATACCGTTACGGTCTACCTTGTTACTGTCTACCCGTTACTGTATACCGTTATTGTATTATACTGTTACTGTCTACCCGTTATTGTATACCGTTACTGTCTACCCATTACTGTCCACCCGTTATTGTATACCGTTACTGTCTACCCGTTATTGTATACCTTTACTGTCTACCCGTTACTGTATACCGCTATTGTATACTGTTACTGTCTACCCGTTACTGTATACCGTTACTGTCTACCCGTTACTGTATACCGTTATTTTATACCGTTACTGTATACCGTTACTGTTTACCGTTATTGTATACTGTTACTGTCTACCCATTACTGTCTACCCATTACTGTATACCGTTACTGTATATCCATTACTGTATACCGTTACTGTCTACCCGTTACTGTATACCGTTATTTTATACCGTTACTGTATACCGTTACTGTTTACCGTTATTGTATACTGTTACTGTCTACCCGTTACTGCATACCGTTATTGTATACTGTTACTGTCTACCCGTTACTGTCTACCCGTTGCTGTATAATGTTACTGTCTACCCATTACTGTATAATGTTACTGTCTACCCGTTACTGTATACCGTTATTTTATACCGTTACTGTATACCGTTACTGTTTACCGTTATTGTATACTGTTACTGTCTACCCATTACTGTCTACCCATTACTGTATACCGTTACTGTATATCCATTACTGTTGCCGTTA